GAAGGAGCGCTTACGCTGCTAACAAAATAACGTCGAATTAGGGAGGAACGATAAAACTTTGTTGGCCACGAATGGCTATCTTCTGATAAACGTTCAACATCTCAAAATTTAATTTGAAAGTAAGTCCACCTTGAACATACAAAATGTTATGCCTGCCTTGGTCAGAAATAGAAGCAAAAATCTTCTTTTTTTCGGACAAAATTGGTTGTCAAAATCTTATTGTTGAGTGTTTTTCCTAAATCATAAAGACACAGCAAATGTCACATTAAAAACGAATTTTTAATCAAAAGGTAATAACGAAATATCATCTAGAGGGAATTCTTTGACACTTATGTATACTCAAGCTGATATGCTTTGCTTGTATGCTCAAGCAAAATTTAAATTTGTATAGAAATTAAAAACGAACATTCTAATAAATTGATAAACAGGGCTCAATTAATACAAATCTGTTAAAATTTCTTTTAACTTTTCGTTTTATTTCAAATTGTCAATTTTTCGCCCCCACTTAAATCACATTATTTAAAATACAAAGATTAAAAAGTAACTTTTGTATGTCAGTTAATCAAATTACATTAAATTCAAATGTATGTTTCTTTGATCTAATTCAAATTTTAGCATAAGAAACCATGTAGCGCTGAAATTAAATGAACATCAAGAGAAGAACACAATTCTCTTGCTCTATAAATGAATGCATCTTCCTTAACTTTACATGGTTTTGTTAATAGTTTCTTGCCGAAATTTGTTGAAGCACCTTTTTTTTTGTCGAATTTTGTGGCAATTATCAAATGCAAGTTGAGAATTATATGATCTATAAAATTATTTGTTTTTCTTTATGAGTGGTGGATATTTAATTGTCTTGTTTTCCCTATACAAATTTTATATTTTTATAAAGGGAGTATTTTGAATTTTTAATTTTGTCATAATTTTTTACTTTTGAAATTTTGCTTATAATTGTATTTGTAGTTTTGGAGATGACGTTTCAATGTTGAATTTATGTTAAAGTCCCGGAATAAATGAAATCAAACAGTTTGTCATTGAGTTATTTTCATTTGGTTTTAATTATAGATTTTCAATTTCAGTCAAACATTTGTCAATTAAGGAAATTTAAACATTCTTTGACAAAATGTTTTCTTTGGAAAAATTTGATCGTTGGCTAGTAATGTTTGGTCCATGTACAAAGTTGGTTTTATTTACTGATTTTCCTTGTCGGTAAACAATGCAGACGCCACTCTTAGAGGATTTAATTGGCAATTTCAGGATTTACTAACATTTATCGACACCAATAGGATTTTTAATCATTCGCTTAACTTTCAAGCTTCAACAATTTTGCGAACCTCAGTAGAGTCTTAAAAACAAATTAAACATAGACGACTAATATAAATATTTGTACATAATTGCGATCTGATATTTTATATAGACTCTTTGTTCAGTGATGTAAATAGTTCCATTTAATCTGCCCGTAACTGAGCAGAAATAATTCTATTTAAAACCGAGCTTTATTAAAATAAATAAAAGCTCATGGAGGTTTAACAGAGCATTAGAATAATAGAGAAATGAAGATTAAGTATATAAAAAAACTTAAAACCGTGCGTAAACAAGAAGGTGCATCATGCTGCTGCTGATTTCGAGGCTTTTTTGATAATGGAGACAAAATTTTCTTGGCCGTTTTACTTTTACAATCAAAACAACAGGAACTCGTTTGTATTGTCTGAAAATTACAGAACAATTTTGAACTCCAGCTTATGCTTACTGAAGTGATTAATTATTTTCACAAGAAAAAAACGATAATATCTCTCAACTCTCTCAAACGACTTTTCACTTAAAGGGTTTGGAGAAGAAATCATCCGAACATAATACCATTTGTCTACGGCCAGCCACTAACTCAGCCACTCAAACGGTTATCTTCGCTTCTGCATCACTGAGTTGTTATATTTTCGCTATTCTTATAAGAACAGTTATCTGCTGAGCGCTTATGTGTCCATCATATTATTGGCTAGTATTGAAACTTTCAGATTAAGCTGCTTGGGAGTTTTCATCGAAGAAGACTTTTTCAGAAACAACTGCGCTTGTTAATCTAGCTGGCAATTAATAATTAGAACACCTACGGTGAAGACGTTTCTGACACTCTTGGGCTTTAATATTAGCGGCGGGAAGAGAATAGATTGCTAATTATGGTAAATAGGAGCGCTCTATGTGTTTTCCATTTATGTTGCACACAAATGTGCCTAGTTTGTTCCCCATCGTAGATATTTAACTAAGTGTTGTGATTATGTACGTGAGAGTTCAGCGTGATGTTAGTTTACTTTAATATGGTAATTATTATGTTGGTATAATGTGAGTAATGAGGGTATTTGAGTGCTAATGTGAATCGGTAGCAATGTTTGTTCACTTACCCCGCCTTTTAGGAATCCTCCTGCCAGCTGAGACGCTTGCAATTTTCTTGGCCTGGGGATGCAAAATTTAGCATTATCTATAGCTATAACTATTGAAATACCGTAAGGACCAATTATTTCAACCGATGGTCAATTTCCGGCTGGTAAAACAATCTCAATAAAACTTATATGTGAGCACTAAAGCGCGCGGCAGTAAAATAAAAATTAAGTTATTAAAGCAAGCGCCTGTTAATTCTAATTTGAAAACCGCTCTTAAAACTAGCGTAAATCCCGCAGAGATAATAATATACTCACTTTATCACCGGCTTAAGAACAAGATGTGAATACAAAACCTATTGGGGAGTTATTGTTATGAGATTTTTATACAAAATACGCGGCTTTCCCATGTGAATAGCTATTATATGGAGAATTGAGACGGTCCTCAGGTGTTTCACCCATCTTTTGTTATCGACGGTAAATAAACTGCTACGATCACCAGTGATAAATTGCCACCTTCGAAAGGTCAGAAGTGTTCTAGGGCTTTATTAATGTGTAGTTTGACGATAAGGGCTTGGAGACGCTTAAGAAGGGCTGCTCTGACCTTTGAACGGATTTAATTGAACCGGGGAATGGTTGTAAAGACAAATTCGCTGACAAACTCTGATTGAGGGCGTTCACCGTTCTAGTGGGGGTTGCAATCAACTATCCAGAGAAAAAATTGCAATTTGCGAAGAACCTTGCAGATCTATATAAAATGTAATAACAGCAACCAGCAGCCAAATAACAGTGATTCCATATTCAGATTCCTACTAAAGTTGAGAATATATATATAATAATATCTTGGAATAAAATACTTCTTTCCAAGCCATAGAAGTAATATCTTATAGGGAAGCACGGCAAACTCTAAAATTCTATTCTCGTAGCAGTGTAATATAAACTTTTTGCGAATATTACACTTTAACTTACGATAACTGTGTTAGAATTCTACTGCGTCTGAATTGTAAATTACGCCAGTCAAATATTTCTTTATAACAATGAGGAAACTTTATTGCTCGCAATATATATTAGGGCTGGATTTCTTGCGAATATTTGCCGTTAAATTGGCTTAGCTTATGGATTTTTTCCTGTGGAAACGAACAAGTGATCGAGCAGGAGTTATCATTTGCTTTGTCCATAATGAGAAGATAGAGATTTAGTACGATTGAAAACTGCAGAATTTTGCAGAAAAGCTCATTTTTATTCAACATTTTGATTAGGCAAAAGATTTACAGTCGCACTTAATTTTGCAAATGTGGCTAGTCAAATAAAATTAGCGTTTGAAAAATTAATAGTTAATTAGTTTGATGAAGATGGTTTGAATAGCCAAAGGAACTGGACAAATTAAATTAAAGGACATATTCCTGTTTAGTGCTGGCAATTAAATACGACAAACAAACCCATTCAATCTAAACGCATCTCATATTTCTATTAATCGGTAAACGATTCATCATCATAATTAACATGCTCTAATTGTTTATTGGAAAATCACAATTTCGTGTCGTGATAAGTTCCAATTATTTGCTCAAACTGAAACACATTGATCTATAATAGGATCGCAATGAAATCAAGTGATTTATACCGAAGGCGAAAACACACTTAACTTATATTGATAATAAAAATGTTTTTGTCGCTCCTTGTGAGCGATGCAATTTAATCAAGAACCTTATCAGGGCAAGTACTACTCAGAAACCTCATTATATTGAACGAAAAATAGCAACATTAACTTGAAAAAAAATGCTTTAATCAAACATAATTTTATGTGATTTATGGCCAATTCTAAGAAAATTCCCAGACCGTGCAACATTAAACCTACCCTTTGGGCCCTGGCTAGGCCATGAAATTTATCATCCTTGTTAAGGTAACCGATTAAAAATTCAAATTAAAAACATTTAGTGGGGCCACTTTAAAATGAGTCCCGCTGTGGGCCCTTCATAAACGATTCCGGCTTGGACACCGCATAGAAGCAAAGTTAAGCGATAAATCAATCGCTGGCAGGTGAGGAAGTTTGATTCTTTTAGCTTCAGCTTTGCGGCTTTTACAGACTTTCAATTCATTTGATTGTTCCCTTTGATCAAACCTGATATTGTTCAGTTTAATGAAACCTCTTTATTTATGTGTATTTTCAATTAAATTTTAATCTATTATATCTGTAGTTCTCCACCTGGAAGCTATTAGGAAACATGAAAAGATCCGCTACTGAAAGCCACTAGAATATTTCGTCGTTTTGCGTCGCTTTTCAGCTAAAGATCGGTGTCACCAAACCTCACCTACATATAAATCAAGCACGACGAAGCAGTTTAGTCCCTTCGAAGCGTCTGGATAGCCACTAACGCCCTTCATCCACAGATATAATTTATGAACGGGCTTGGTGGTTCAAACAATAATTGAAGTGGTCCGAGGGGTAATGAACTCCGTCTTCTAAGTGGTCGCATTTTTCATTCTCCAAGTACGTGTCTGGGACATTTATTTCAATAACATCTAGACTTTGTCTGTGTGTGTTGAACGTTTGCTTTAGTCGGGTTTAGGTACGATGTTTATGGAATGGATGTTTTTTTATTAGAAGTTGGGAATTTAAGTAAAACTATTAGCTGCAAATGAGGCCCCGTTTCCCATCTAATAGATTTTCTTCAAAACACCTAAAAATTCAGCCAACAGTGGCATTAATCAAGCGAGTTTGGATGAGATTTCGATAATAATAAGCTGAATCCCTTAGCGTTCTTGTGAAGTTGCTGCTGTCGAAGTCGACATGAACCAGCCCAAACTTTGCCCTATGAACGTTCCAAATTCAAATGTGCACAAAACATTGGTTGAAAATCCTACTTATAGTAGCTGTTCCATTCGAACGAATCCAGCAAACTCCAGTAAGTGTAGCCTACAACATTAACCCCATCTGCACACATGGAAAGTCGCACCTGCTCCAAAGAGTCCTGCAACGAACATTCTTCAATCTTCCTTCTGAAACAATAGCACTAAATACAGCACCTGGATAAACTGGATCCGATCCCAATCGGTCAAATTTCCATCACTAGAATATCCATTTTCCGTAATAAAAATCTCTGGGTCGCCATAAGTGTCCTTAATATGCTTCAGCACGCTTCTCAATGCTGGTGCATGCAGCTTAAAAGCATATCATGTACTTTCCAAGCTTTTCTTCCAAGCGTAAAAAAATGCTCACCACAAATCCGATATTACTCTGCGGTAGGTCGATATTTTCCATACGGGTTACTTGTCGATCATTCTCCCAAGATAGTTCATTGGTGTACGGGGCAGGAGTGACATGATTAACGGAATAATGATTCAGAAAAAACAGGTCGAATGTGCCCTTTAAAATGCGACGTTCCAAGCAGGAGAACTTCGGTAATCTCGAGCTTGAGAAATTTTGAGCTGCGCTTTTATTAGCTAAAAGGTTCTTGAGGTCTTGGGGGTAATCGCCGTATACAATGGGATTAGCTAACCAGCCTAACTAAAGAAAAATAGCTGATTTTGCAAAAGGGATCCAGGTGAAATATATTCTCGAATGTAGTATAGAAAATTCGGGCGTTTTCCAACAAGTTTCCAGCAAAATAGGTGGTAATTCTAATCACCAGCGATGATAGATAACAATGTTTGTTTAATTAGAAGATTACCCATTATTTCAACTAAAATGTTCTGAATTTGATGTAATGTTCAATTTGAAAATTTTGATTGGTGATAGAATGAATGGCCAGTCAATTTTGCCGCAACTTACATCGAATAAATTCGCTCTTTCGGCAGCCTCATCATCCTCCGTAGAATTGGAGTATGGCACATTTTCGTCCAAATTTAGCACAATCCCTATCTTTCCTAAAAGCTTTTTCAAAAAGCCACTCAACACATTGTATATATATTTACCATTTTGCATTTTCTGGTATTTACTTTCATACAGTCGGTAAGTTTTGGCATGAGCCAGTAGCACGTGATGACCACAAAGATATTCGTAGATTCCCAGTGGAAGTTCAGTGAAAAAATATTCTGTTATTGTATTGGGAACATCCTGGCAAAACGTTCTCGGTTCATTAATTGTAGCCCAAAGTTTCACCTTGAGAGGGAAATCACAAAACGTTCAGAATCAAGAGGGATCAATACTATTCAAGACAACTAATATACCCTGTCTCCAAACAATTCGAAAGCCAAATCAGCAAAATCGACAAAGTAGTCCACTATTTTGGGATTAGCCCACTCTCCAACATAACTGAATGTGTAGGGCGTGTCCCAGTGAAAAATTGTCACCAAGGGCTCAATTCCGGCTTCCAATAGGGCATTGATGAGATTATTGTAATATTCCACTCCGGCCTCATTGACTTCATATCGAAATCCTAAAAACTTTGGTGTTATTCAGCCTGGAAACATTTCCTAGTCAGCCACAACCCTTGGGCAATATTCTGGTCCAAGACAAAGAAAACCTGTAATAGTCCACTCCAATATCCTTTAACGCATTCACATCATCCAGATATTTATGATAGGAATTGCTGGCGTTGTTTCCATTTGCCTTTAGGTAAATGTTGGCAAACCAGTCCCACCAATTACGCCCTTTTCCATCATCCAAGTAACCACCTTCCACCTGGTAAGCAGAGGATGCGGTGGCAAATTTAAAATCTGCAGGAAACGATGTAAGAGAACATGTGGAGGAATTTTCGGCTTCTGAATGTCTGAAAGATAAACTCTGACTAAACCTTGAATGGCCAACAAAACTGCACAATTTATTTGGATGTATGTTTGTCTTACCGTATTTCGAAAATTAGTAGCAATACAACGAAAATTTTCACCATGGCTAGCAAGCATTCACTAAGCTCATTGTTGTTTAATAAATGAGACAGAAATGCAATGATCTAACAATGAGATTTTTTTATTAGCAGAATATCGTAAAATGTGATTTAGAAGGATTACGTTTATTAAATGAAAACATAATCATAAAGATCTGCGATTTAAACAAATTTCAGCGGCCTATACGCGTGACTAAGCAAAATACGTTTTGTTCTATAAATGTCCCATTCAAAATCGGCCATCGGTTTGAAGGCTAAAGTACAATAGTATAAAAATTAACTGTCAGTACCGCCAGCATACTCTTTTAAGCGCAAAAAGCCGCAAAAATGTACGGAACTAAATGCGATTTACCACCCTCAGTTACTAAATTCCAGCAGATCAACTAAACGACCCAATCCCATAGAATAGATGTGCATTTCCCTTGGGGCGGGTTTCGAAATACAGCCTGGCACAAATATATTTATATTTTTTGCCGAGTGAATTTTTATGCGTCTTATACACCAACAAATTCTTATTTATCCCCACATTTGAACCTTTTCCGAAACTGCCGGATATCTTTTTAATTTGTTTGGGGTGTTATATATGGCGAAGCGAGGGCTCTGCGTTACTTCGCCTTCGTCTGATTTATAGGCGACCATCTAAGGATTGACCCGAAGCCTTTCATGAAATTTGCTTTCCTTTGTAGGCTTACTTTGGAAAGTTATGTTTTATTTTATTGACCAGACTGAAAGCCCGGCTTATTTCGCCCAAACGAGTTTACGCTTCCTTCTAGAACAAACGCACTCTGCCAGTCTGGAGAAGAAATTTGCTAATCCCAGTAGTACAGTTGGGCTCATAAAAAACATGGATGGTGCCCAGTCAATGCAATGAAACTAACAAAGCCAGAAAGTCTGCTAAGATTTTTAAATTTTGCTTTGAATATCAGACAATGCGTATTTTTATTGGGATGCTTACACCCACCAATTTATCTAAAAAATAAAATTTAAAACTTAAATTGGTTCTTTCCATAAAAGCATCAGTTAATGCATGCTACTTATCTTTATGTCTTTTTATAGTACGCTAGTGGTAATATCGGTAATATAAATTTCGATCATTTAGTATATAAACACAATTAGAAATAGGTAGTAGAAAATGATAACAGTTTTTCTACATACCGGGGAGTCAAAACGGTCATAGGAAAGAAAAGCCAAGCAGTAAGTGAATAGTAAGTAAAATGAAATCTGATTGTAGGCGATTTTTTTAATGTTTTGGATAAAAGCCTTTCAATCGCGTTCTTTTAGCGATGAGTGTGAATCAGGTCGTACCCACTTAGATGGATTGTAACTAGATGGGGTAAATTGTAACACCCAATATGAGCATAATTTCACTATTAAAGGATTCATTATTATAATCACATTTTATATTGTCTTATAGTTGTTTTCAATAAGAGTCTTAAAGTGTGAAATAAATATTTACTTTGAAGTACAATACGTAAGAGAGCATAAGCGCATTTTATACAACTCACTATCGCATATATTTAGTACGTTAACTAACCCATTTGTTCATATAAACATTAATTTTAATCCCCTCAATCCAACTATTTTACGCAACGACAATCAAAACGGCATTCTTATCAATTAACAAACTCTTTAAATATAGTAAATATTATAAAATGCGCATTGTTCGCACAAATGCACCGATAAAAAGGTTATAAAATGGGAGCATGCGAATATGCGTTTCGCACGGACGAATTGTCTTCAAGCAAAGAGTGGAGGCGCTGGGTGACTTTATATCACCACTTTCTGCTATTATAAACCGAAACTGCTTACAGAATTTCTCTGTTGCTTTCCTTTTAAGAAAAATACTTTACATTACTAGTGCTACAATGAGCGGCTTACAACTACTGTAAAAAGTTATTGTCGTGTAAGTCTAGATAAAAGATTTTAGAAAAAAATAATTGACACAGTTTTAGTGGTGTAGTAGAAGCTACCATTCTTCATCAATGGCTTCAATGGCTTCAAGGGCCAATTTATGACTTATTTTTTTTTAAATAAGCACATAAAATAAATAGAAATGAGCCGCAAAATATCGAATTTTGGCTTGATCGGATCAACTGCAGATCATCCAACATTTGTTTCAATAGCATTTACCACGATTGGGCACCTCACAACTTAATTTTCAACCAAACATTTATTATTAGTTCAAAGCAGTTTTGGTCTTCGATATTCTCATATCTATACCTAATGATAACAACGAAATCGTACCATAATAACGGATTTCACTTCATGCGTTTCTACCAGTTCTGTTCCAAACAGTTCCGTTTTCCTATTTTCTCTCTCTAAAAGAACTCTCGTATCTTTCAGCCTGTGTCATTTTCGTAAGTATTTATCGGTGTATCCGATTTTAGATAAACATTTGATTCTTCAAAACTGATCATTCCAAAATAGCTTCATTTGGTATTAATATACTAGATACTCCAGTAAGGGGAAAGCACTTCTTATAGTCAAAATATTTTCAACAGCAATACATATAGTTTGGTGCTGTAGATTTTGATAAATGCTCACCATGGACACGTTGGAATCTATTGAGTAAATGTGTTCAGTTCAAGTTCAAATCAGTTCAAACGCACTTTCCACCGATAAATATTTTGATATTGAGGACCATTTTCCAGAAAGAGATCTGGGCAAATAAGATTTCTTTGCATAAGCTTGCCATAGTAACAGCGTGTTATTTGATTGATAAAAAGTCTTATCCAAACACGCGACAGTCTTTCCAACCACGTATCATGAACAAAGCATTATTTTTCTACATTATGAGTAGATTAATTAATTAAACATCCAGATTTTCAAGTTTATATATTATGCAGCTAAAAAATGTTCTCAGCGTAGTACTGGAAAAAGCACGATTCACTGCGCACGATAGGAAACATGTTGCTGACCTTCTTAATTCTTACTGCTGGTATTGGGTAAGATTTTGAACACTCTTAGCAAATTGCTCGATCAGCGCCTACTCACTAGCCAAGTTTGTTATTCATCACTATTTTACTTTTTAGAGTAATTCCTATTTTCTAGTTCCCTCAGTTTTTGAGCAAAAGCTGCTAAAATTGATCAACAGTGCACGTTAATAAATATAGTATTTGTCTTCTAGTTGTAAATGAACTGATTCTTCCAGAAAGAGGACACGCGAATTAAGAATTGGAACTAAAGACAGGTTTGCTGTAACATGGTTAATAAATATTTGCGAATTCGATAAATAATTATTTAATTTTCACGTTTCACGTTATATATATGACGAATTAATTTTTATCAAATAGCTTCAATTCTGCATTTTCACCTAACACCCACTTGAATGAATCCATCTTTCAATCAAACAGTATACAAACTTCCAATCAAACAAACTTTCAGTATTTTGCGTTTCAGGCTCGGTTCGTCATCTGAAAACTCGACAGCAGCTTGCAACCTCACCACATTTCCAGATGATTTCAAATTTGGAGCCGGTTCTTCGGCTTACCAGGTGGAAGGCGGCTATTTAGATGATGGAAAAGGCCGAAGCTGGTGGGATTGGTTTGCCAACACTTACCTATCGGAAAATGGAAATGTTGCATGCGATTCCTATCACAAGTATCAGGAAGATGTGGATGCTTTAGCGGAAATTGGAGTTACACATTATAGATTTTCGATTTCGTGGACCAGGATACTGCCAAAAGGTTCTAGATACTGAGGCGACGAAGGTTGTAAGATGAACAATACTTACTACTTTGCAGGATTCACAAATGATATCAATCAAGCTGGAGTGGACTACTACAATAATCTAATCGACGCCCTAGTGGAAGTTGGAATCGAGCCCTTGGTGACTCTTTTCCACTGGGATACACCATACGTTTTCAGTTATCTTGGCGACTGGACGAATCCAAAAATAGTAGAGTACTTTGTCAACTACGCAGATTTGGCTTTTGAACTGTTTGGCGACCGGGTAATATTTTCTCTAAGAAATAAATCCGTGAATTTTTCCCAATTCGGAACTTTTCTGGGTACAGGTGAAGCTTTGGGGCACAATCAATGAACCTTTATCAATTTGCCAGGAAATTCCCGAACTGATTAGAGATGCGCTTTTTCCAGAACTACCTAGCGGTGTGTTTGAGTACCTTTGTGGCCATCATGTGCTACTCGCTCACGCTAAAACGTATCGATTGTACCAACGCAAGTATAAGAAAACCCAGCAAGGTAGGAACACTTAAAAGTTTGGACGCATTTTAAGATTTATTTTTCTTAAAGGCAAAATGGGAATGGTGATAAGTGCCTCTCCAAAGCTACCTGCCTCCAATTCCAGTGAGGATGCTGAGGCAGTTGAGAGAGCATATTTATTCGATGTGAGTATAATCGACAATCATTTTGTGCGCTGATGAAACTAAATCGTTCCTTCAGCTGGGCTGGTTTGCGAACCCCATAGTATTTGGCGACTATCCTGAGGAAATGAAGCAAATTGTTGCTAACAGAAGCAAAGCGCAAAACTTTTCCTCGTCCAGGTTGCCGAGCTTTTCTTTTCATGAACGCACTCTATTACGGGGATCTTTTGACTTGTTTTATCTCAACAATTACAGCTTTGATAACGTAACACTGGCAGAGCCCAGTGATGAATTAACATGGGAGAATGATAGGCAGGTCACATATGTCGAAAACACCGTTCTTCCTGTGACTAATGTTGGTTTTGTGGTGAGAAATTGAATAAATTGGTTATTTTCTTTAGTAGCATTTGAGGATGTTTTAGATATATCCACCAGCTAGCAGAGGAAGATTCTAAAACACATCAAGGATAATTACAACGATCCGGAAATTATCATAACGGAAAACGGATATTCCAACAAAGGCAATTTGACCGATCAAGACAGAATTCGTTTCATACAGGTTCAGCATTTAATTATACTAATAAATTGCAAACTGTGAAATATTTGAAATTTAGGGACAACTGCAGCAGGTGCGCGTTTCTATGTGCCTGGATGATGTCAACGTTTCTGGATACATGTACTGGAGTTTACTGGACTCATTCGAGTGGAACAGTTACTACACGTAAGAAAATTCGAGATTTACTGTACATTTTTTTTCCAAATTTTTCCTTTAAAGGTCCAAGTTTGGATTGGTCGAGGTGGACTTTGACAGCACAAACTTGACCAGGACTCTAAAGGATTCAGCATATTATTACAAGAATCTTATTGAAACAAGATCAATCCATTAAGAAGGCATATTAGAGCAATCGAAGTTTTGATCTGAATTTTTGTTTTTGCAGTCCTTTTTAACAGATTCCTTCAATTTACCAGTGTAATAAAAGTGTTTGACCTAAAGTTTTGAAGGAAAAAACTCCCGAGTCATAAATGATGATGCTTTAGCAAAGTTTCTTTGAGTGTTCAGATGGAGTGTGAGTTTCAATGGCTCGCTTTCCACTTCATGCTGCTTGAACTGCACGTTTCTTCAAGCATCTTCATTTAACGTCCAGTTCAAAAATGATGGTTTTAGTGTACAAACTGTTGATTGCTGGTGCTGGTTAAAACACTGTAACATTGAATATTTTCGATGAAGGACGACTAAACTAAATTAAAAACGGGTTATTAAAAGACAACAGACCGAGAAAAAACCGCCACTAATTTACATAGAACTAAAACGGCATAATCGAACCCCCTTAACACTGTGCAGCGATCAAAGACACCATTAATTCCAGCTTAAATAAACTCTAACGAATGGCAGGTCGATTCTTCGGGCACGAAACGGTCCCTTTGAAAAGCAGTCGAAATGAAAAAACATCATCACTACAGGTCGGTTTCTTTTGTGGCCCTCAGTGTTGCTAATTCGCCTAATCGGTCCGCTTAATTTCTTCTATTCGATCAATTCTACGTTTTAACTCAGGTTTCTAATCTTTCCAAGTCATCTCAGGTCCAAACTCGAAATTAAAGCATGATCGATCGATCATAAATGGATGGGAATGAAGCAAACGTTTAAGCATTATGATTGTTTATGTATGATTTCAACTAAAGAGTTAAAAGTATCGTCAATTTAAAATTCCTATATTTTTCTAATAAAGCCCGGTGTGATTTTCAAATAATGCTGCCGTTAAATCCTCAAATGGATCTAGATTATGTAGTCGTCCCCCAAGTATTAATTGTATGTTGTATGTGTAAATCTACTCTTTTCGGTGGTTAAAAATAAAACCCCATTAAATGATAATCCTCGAGGGTAGAATTAAAAAATAAATGCAGACAAGCGATTATAAGCAATTTGCGCTTATATAAATTAATCCAGTCTATCCCATTTTATGGCACTGTGCTTTGCCTAATTTAAAAGATCAGAACTCAGACAGAAAAAACAATATCTCCTAGTAAAGTTTAGCGCGATCGCTAAGCCCTGTTTATCATGGAGCGACACTTTTTTATTATTTACGACGAAGTTAGCCGGAACAAACAGCCCAATAAAATCGAGTTTCAATTTCATTTTTCCGGGCCAAAAAAGGAATAAAAAACTTATCACTTATCTCTCAGTTTAATCTGGGACGAGATATAAATCAAATACATTAAGGAATTTTATGGGCGTTTTAATGTTGTGACTTTTGCGACTTGTTTTCGACGATTCAGTTGTAAGAACTTGGCAAAATAGTGCTTTATGAGCCATAATATACATAACAAGCTTTACCTATATGTATATGTATTTTTTTCCATACATTCAACTACCTTCATTGAAAAAGCATTGAAATTCAACAATATAACAACCCACGCAAAATTTCCTAAAAAAATTGTGCTCTCTTATATTCCACTAATTGATTAGAAACAACCAATGGTTTAAATTTAGATAAACTTTTAAATAATCAATACACTCTTTTGCGGTTGGCTTCGTTCAATTGCGTGCTTTTTGCCTTATGCGGACCCGTCAATGATTTTAATTTCAGTGCCCAGAAAGGGGGAAAGCGATAAACCAGCGACAACTTGTTTGCTCTCTAGCCCGCGAGGATAATTAAAAACCTAAAATCTCCACGACGCTCTGAATAGGAATCTTTTCACGGATCTTTTATTACGATATCGGTTTGCACTTTTATGCCGCGTTTTATCGAACGAAGTTGTTTGTGGATTTTAGATTTAGACATCAGAAAAACCCCAAACGCATAATTTGTGATAAGAAAGTTTAACAGTTTAAAATTAATATTTCATAACCATCTGGAAGAAGTTAGCGAACAATATTGCATTTTATTTTAAACTTTTTGCTAGTAATAAGAGCTCTTGCTGAGGCAAAAGCGGGGATTTGAACAGGCCATTTAGCTGGTACTGTGAACGGTTTAAATTCATTCAAATTTCGACCCCCAGGAATAACCATTCAAGCAAGCCTCCATGACCCCAATAAAACCGTTTGTTTAAGATACTTTATTCCCATTGTGTCTTTCTGCGGTGCAGAAAACGAATAAACGTTTTAACTTGAGCACCATTGAATTCTTTTTATGAAGCCATCGAGGTTGCGCTGGCTGAAGTGCAAAGAGGATAAAATCCAGCTGATTCCTGATACCATTTTAGCTGGATATAAAACTTATTTGACTAGTTTTATATCTCCCTAGTGAATATCACTGAGAAGCGGATCTCAAACAGTGATGGCTCGAACTGCTGTGTGTACTAAAAGTCGGGTAAAAAGTCCGAAATTCGCTTCGGATAGGGAAATTTTTACAAAGCTGAAAGTTAGTGCTGAATCTTGGGGGCAGTTTTTCAATTTTTCTTAATCCAGTAAAACGGTCAAAAATCAGCCATGAAAACGTGTAATAGAAGTATTTCACTAGTAGTAGAGAATACGAATAAAATTTTCGAAATACATCGACCCCATTGATGAAGCCATCGGTCAGTGTCAGCTGCTTAGGCAACAGCTCACTTTATCGTTTAGCAATCATGATGGATATATTCTTGAAAAGTAAACTTTGATGTTTTCCCAATGAGGTGGAGAGCATTGAGGCTTCAAGAACAATATTAACCAATCTAAAAATGTATGAACAGAGGACATACAATGAAAATGTTACAAGATGCCCATTTATCATCGGTTCCAAAGCAGGAATTATTACCCGTGTAAGTGCCAGTTCCATAAAGAGCCAAGTATTTTGACAAGAATTACACCCATAAGCCGATTATAGGTCCCTGAACAAAATTTCGATTCTTTTCAGCTATTTCAAACAGTTATACGTCGTTGCCTCCAAAATATCTTAATAAAGGAAATTTAAGTAGGTTTTGTTTCCTTCACTGAAAGTGGCATTTTGTAGCTCATGAAAATTGAGTTAAGGGGATTATCAAATGTTATTTTAGACGATGAATTATCATCAGTCCAATAGGTATATAACTTGGTAGATGCGTTAGCTTTAAAACCTAAGGCGCAGAGTGCAGGAAAAACCTAAAGCACCAATGTACTTTTATAAAGTGTTCTACAATAAGAATAAATATTCGCAGTTAAGAATCGTAACTGCCCACAAAAAGGGTGAAAATGCGCCAAAAATGATTTCCTTTCTTAAAAAGCATTTAGCGTGCACATTCCTCACCTGCGTGAAGTGAAAATAATTTATGTGGATTGTTTCCGATATTAGAAGCGCACCAATATGCAGACATGAAATTCTTGGGTTTATAGCAAGGAAAGTAACCTCAGTTAATGCTCCCAAATGCTCAAAAATCGTTAAAATGTGCCAAAAATGTCGATTATTTTAGATCTGATGATTTTAGGGGGTATTTCAAAGAGCTAGTTACATTCGTCGATTACGTGAGATGTAAATGACGTAAGATATACGGCCTTTTAAGAGCCTTGATATTTTTTCAAGAAATCCACCTCCAGCACATATTTTTCGGTCAAAAATTTAAATTTTACAGATGTAATCTRTAAGTTTAACGCATTTTTTCCGATATKCCAAGCTTTCCAATATGCAAAGATAAAGTGTTTAGTCCATAATAAGAAAATAAGTTCARTTTCTTGACCGATATCGAATAATTGCAAGATGRTTAATTTTCTTGCGAATTCGGTTTGGGCAGTGGYGATTTTTKCAATTTTCAATTTTCRAKRAAATTTTTCAGCTACGAAGCKTTCGGCAATTTATTGTCTCCTTCCTCAGGGTGTTATTTGTTTGACCATAAGAAGGCAAGGAACCTTCCAGAATATGTTATCATTTTTTGTACAGTTTGATGAAATATTTAATCTTTTAGTTACATTGTTTGGTCACAATTTATTTGCCTTGAATCACACACAACATTTATTCACGATTAACATGTTTTTTTCTGCAGAAATAACGAGAGCAGACTACCTTCTATCATTTTTTGCACAGTTTGATGAAATATTTAATCTTTTAGTTACAATGTTTGATCATAATTTATTTGTCCTGGATTACACACAACATTTATTCACGATTAACATGTTTTTCTGCAGAAGTAACGAGAACAGACCACASTAGTACTAGTGGTACTAGTAGCCTSTTCTCGTTATTTCTGCSGAACAAAAGGTTAATTGTGAATAAATATGGTTTGTAATYCAAWTATAACAGACAAAGKATATGATAAACTRAAAAYAGAAAAGATGAAAAATGCATAACAAGAAAAGAAAGACACAACGCTAGAATCTGTACAATGAAGCATGAGTGCAGRAAGAATTTATMTACAAATGAAAAATGACACTGATAGTGCCACTTAAGAAACATTAAAAAGACTGCCCTAACYRTAATAGGAGATATTGATAAGTAAAGCTAGCAAAATTTMTGTGTCAAATAGTTGCAGAAACTTGGGRCAGACACTGAAACCTAGAACAATCACAGAGCGGATTTAGRCTTRGAACTAGGGTACAAGAGCCCATAATGTTGATACAAAAAAATGATAATCAGTGAAAAAGKGAGAACTATTTGACGAGSAAAATTAAACAATGAATAATCTTGAAATTATGAAGTTTCAATTAAGCAATAGCGTGGAAAGAGGGAAAGGTTCGAGAAGTAACGAAGAAGAAGAGAAGAGACGACATTAAATTTTCTTTAAATTCACCCAGTCAAATCAGTTCAATCACCACAAATTTCCAAATTATTTAAATACATATGGAACATTTAAAAATCAATATATATCTAATTAATATCTAAACGATTTTTCTATTGGATTTCATTACACATATATTATTCATTAGTTATTTCACAGTGCTCGAATCGTATTTTAATAAAGTGGTTAATAATTTCGGAAACCTTCCAAAGCCAAATTAATGCCAATTAAATTAATTAGGTTCGGCACTT